GAGAGAGAGAGAGAGAGAGAGAGAGAGAGAGAGAGAGAGCTAGAGAGAGATATATAAAGAAAGAATGTCGCCCTTGCATCCTGTGGCTGCCTCCCCCACAGTGTCCCTCTCCTCCCATCAACCCAAATATCGCCCTCGTATGCGAGGGTTGCCCTCACCTCCCGCAGGCCACACCCTCCAGGTGCTTTTATCCATATGATCACATGTATATCCAGGGCAGCACTCATCTTCCCGGGATTGTATTCATCCCGGAGGTTGCGCTCATCCCTGGGCGTGCGCGGCAGGATGGCACACCTGCGCCTATACTAGGGAGCGGCCAGTAACAACGACCTCATTGTTCTCTTCTGCTGGCGTTCACGCTCAGGACCGCCTCCACGGCTCTCCGCAGCACCCTCCCCCCTCTCGTCCCCTCTCTCTCTCTGTTCCCCTCTCCTTCTCTCTTACTCTCTCTCTGTTCCCCTCTCCCTCTCTCCTATTATCTCTCACTCTCTCTGTGTTTCCCTCTCCCCCTATTTTCCTCTCTCTGTTTCCCTCTCCCTCTCTCCCATTATCTCTCCCTCTCTTCCTCTGTCTCTGTTCCCCTCTCCCCCTCTCTTCCTCTCTCTCTGTTCCCCTCTCCCTCTCTCCTATTATCTCTCCCTCTCTCTCTGTTCCCCTCTCCCCTTCTCTTCCTCTCTCTCTGTTCCCCTCGCCCCCTCTCTTATTATCTCTCTCTCTCTCTCTCTCTCTCTGTTCCCCTCTCCCCCTCTCTTCCTCTCTCTATTCCCCTCTCCTCATCTCCCTGTTCCCACTCTCTCTGTACCTCACTTCCTCCCTCTCTTCCCTCACCCGCTCTCACTCTCTCTTTTCCTCACTTTTCCTCTCTATCTCTCTTGCTATTACGCGCGCGCTCTCTCCCTATCTATCTATTGCTATTTCTCCCTTTTTCTCTCCCTCTCTCTTTCTATTGATCATGCTCTCTTTCTCTCTCCCTCTCTCTTTCTATTGCTCTTGCTCTCTTTCTCTCTCCCCCTCTCTCTTTCTATTGCTCTTGCTCTCTTCTCTCTGTCTCCCTCGCGCTCTCTGCCACAGACGCGCCCAGCCGTAGAAACCCCTGCTTGTTGTGCAACAAAACCAGCGTTTACTTGCTCCGGCGAGCCATGGAATAGCAGACACGCAGCTGGCAGATATAGCGTGCTGTGAAAATAGGCCCCCGAATTTCGTTAGCCCCCGCTTTTGTGCGCGCGGGAAGAATGGCCACCGATTTTTTTTCTCCTCTCGTGTTAGACTGGTTCCGGTATTTCCCGTGGCTTTCCCGCGGTCGAATCACAACGAACAGACGGGGGTCAGTCTATACTCGCGCTCGTAGAAGGCCGCTTTGCCTGATCGCAACAAATGACACAGGTACGGCAACACGTGTGAGAGATCAGACATATGGGCAGGGGAATCGTAGAGTCGTCTTCTCTAGCCTAGAGGAAGCCTCGCGAGGCAACTAGACGTTATATATTTTAATATAAGTATAA